AAAATAATTAATTTTAAATATCTGAACGGTACTATTAGCCACAATGGCGAGCACAATGACGTAATTTTTTAATAATTTGCTATATAATTACTATTATTTATGGACATTTGCATGTCTATAAATTACATCTCATGGATATAAAATATATATCTACCATGGACTGGACATTCAGTGGATATTGGGATGTTCAGCAGATATCCAAAGGATTTGGTGTGCTGTGTCTGGGTAGCCACATACATAGTTAAATGCATACATAAAACGAATATAATTGCGAGAACTTTTAAAAGTTCCGTCTATAAATTTTGTTAAGCCGGGCCTGCATTTGAACTATTATTTCTATTTCATTATTTTTGCAATATCGAAATGATTATACATGTCACATTGGACATTTTTATACCGAATGATGGTTTGTTGAATTTTGGCCAAATAAAAATATAGGCGAAATTAATTAATTATTAATGGGTGATTTCGAATCATCCAAGTGTCGTACACTTACAGTAAACGTATGTCCCAGAGATAAGGGGTATGTACTTTTAACTCTGAAACACCCTGTATATATCAGTAAACCAAAAAATCTACTTTCATTATTCGACTTCTGTTTGGGATTAATATGGGATGGGTAGGGTCGCAACAGTCTCACTTAAATTATTTCATTATTCTAAAATCAAGACAGGGTCTCAAATGTATCGTGGGTTCAAATGTACGAGGGCGCATCTGTCCCGACACCAGTTTTATGAACACTATAAGTACCTACCTACTTATTTTATGGCTACAATAAGTTATTTGGAATTCCCGAGTTGCCGAGCCTCAATTTTAATCGCCTTTATTGTCCGTTATTGGCAGGTAATGAAGAGAGTCCGTTATTCGGGAGTGTCTTAGCCCATTTACCCACATATGAAATGTTCGGTGACCTAAAATCTGTCCGTTTAGTAGATGTTTCCGTTGTGGAGAGGTGTCCGTTAACAGAAGTTTCTCTGTATTTATAAGAAAACAGCCGAGATATTGGATTTCCACACACTAATGACTAATGTATAATTTAATTATAATATTTATGTATTTTTGCCATCAATTAGGTTTTTTTTATTTTCATTTTAATGGTACAATTTAATTATAATTTTTTTGTATTATTTGGCCCTATGCTGTATGAGTCAAGGCTGAAAGTTTAGCCCAAGGCTGAATAGCGTAAAGTTCTGAGCAAAGCGAATTGCGAAGCAACCCGCAATGGCTCAAGGTCGGAACTTAGGACAAGGCCAGACCGGTTAGTTTAATATAGTTGAGGTTTGATTAATATAATTTTTCTTGACTTTCCAAAATAAAAGATTATATGCTTATACATGAGTGCAGAAACACCGTGCGGTGACTTCATCTAATGAAGTACCAGCAGAGCCGGGCAGTACTTGAGTAAATTGTACTCAAAATTGTACTCGAGTACTCAAAGTACTCAGTAATTGGTACTCGCAGGTACTTTCATCCGATGGGATTCATACTCAATTACTTTATATTTTAGAGTAATCAGTACTTTTTATTCCCACAGCTGACTCATACTTACGAGTTCTTTGTAAAGCTAATCATTATGAAGTATGTATCCTTCTCTTTCACTCAGCAGCTGCCTGGCACACACTTGTCTCTACATCCTTGTCTATCGTATGGAGTGGCAACGCTTCTCTGTCAGTCTCTACTCGCGCTTAAAACTTAACATTTAAAATGTAGGCAACCATGGATATGACACACTTTTGACAAGACAACCTATCTAATACTGTCTATAGGGAATAAAGGAACCTTTCATTTCATAAAAAATGTAATTAAATAACTGATGAGGGTATATTAATATCGCAGTTTACCTGTTTGTACCTGGAAACTTCATAGTTGTACTAAAGGGAAAGTAGGCAACCTATATATTTCCAATTCCTCATGTAATATTCTCTCTATCAATCGGGGAAGTAGATCAAAAAAGTTATTTAAGGTTAATATTATTTAACAGTATTGGCCCGTGTTTTAGCTAGACAACCCGATTTATCAATGTACATATTATGTAACATATAATCTTTATCATCATTAACTAACAGATGAGGCTATATGCTATATTATATTACTTATACCTTATGTAAGATTTATTGTTTGTAAGACTTTGTTTCGAAATTAAAATTACATGTTCTGGTGCAGTCACAGTATAGTTAAAATTAAATGTAATAAGTTTCAATAAATTCCAAAATCTTGTTATTAAGTTGGATATCAAGTATTCTGTACTAGATGTGGCAACATGGTTTGAATTTTGTACGTTATTTATTATGGGCATAAACGGCTTATACATATATTCATTGATAACATTGTTTTGTACGGCCGTCAAATTATTCAGTTTATCCCTTCCCATACCTCACACCACATGTCTCTTCGCTCCTGATCTACAACTGGAGCGTATCGATGTCGGCGTCAGGACATCAAGAATATTATATTTTATCAATGAATAGCTATATATCCTGTTATCTCTGGTACAAAAGCAACCCGCAATGGCTCAAGGTCGGAACTTAGGACAAGGCCAGACCGGTTAGTTTGATATAGTTGAGGTTTGATTAATATAACTTTTCTTGACTTTCCAAAATAAAAGATTATATGCTTATACATGAGTGCAGAAACACCGTGCGGTGACTTCATCTAATGAAGTACCAGCAGAGCCGGGCAGTACTTGAGTAAATTGTACTCAAAATTGTACTCGAGTACTGAAAGTACTCAGTAATTGGTACTCGCAGGTACTTTCATCCGATGGGATTCATACTCAATTACTTTATATTTTAGAGTAATCAGTACTTTTTATTCCCACAGCTGACTCATACTTATACGAGTTCTTTGTAAAGCTAATCATTACGAAGTATGTATCCTTCTCTTTCACTCAGCAGCTGCCTGGCACACACTTGTCTCTACATCCTTGTCTATCGTATGGAGTGGCAACGCTTCTCTGTCAGTCTCTGCTCGCGCTTAAAACTTAACATTTAAAATGTAGGCAACCATGGATATGACACACTTTTGACAAGACAACCTATCTAATACTGTCGATAGGGAATAAAGGAACCTTTCATTTCATAAAAAATGTAATTAAATAACTGATGAGGGTATATTAATATCGCAGTTTACCTGTTTGTACCTGGAAACTTCATAGTTGTACTAAAGGGAAAGTAGGCAACCTATATATTTCCAATTCCTCATGTAATATTCTCTTTATCAATCGGGGAAGTAGATCAAAAAAGTTATTTAAGGTTAATATTATTTAACAGTATTGGCCCGTGTTTTAGCTAGACAACCCGATTTATCAATGTACACATTATCTAACATATAATCTTTATCATCATTAACTAACAGATGAGGCTATATGCTATATTATATTACTTATACCTTATGTAAGATTTATTGTTTGTAAGACTTTGTTTCGAAATTAAAATTACATGTTCTGGTGCAGTCACAGTATAGTTAAAATTAAATGTAATAAGTTTCAATAAATTCCAAAATCTTGTTATTATTGGATATCAAGTATTCTGTACTAGATGTGGCAACATGGTTTGAATTTTGTACGTTATTTATTATGGGCATAAACGGCTTATACATATATTCATTGGTAACATTGTTTTGTACGGCCGTCAAATTATTCAGTTTATCCCTTCCCATACCTCACACCACATGTCTCTTCGCTCCTGATCTACAACTGGAGCGTATCGATGTCGGCGTCAAGACATCAAGAATATTATATTTTATCAATGAATAGCTATATATCCTGTTATCTCTGGTACAAAAGCAATGACATAACATAACAAGCTTACCCACTAGTTATTTATAGCATTAATGTAGTTCACTCGCGACAGTCGTTCATAAAAATATCGCTTAATGGTGAATACCAATAGTTCGAGATTCTCAATGCTAATCAATTTTATTTTTGTAAGAGACTGTACAAAACACATGTAAGCTTATATCATCATCATCTATATTTGGATTTTAATAAAATCCATCCGGCAACCTCATAAATACATGAATGGTTTGCTATAGAAATTTGTGACTTCCTCATATTAATTTTAAGGGTTTGTTTTGGTTCAAACAGAACCGCTGATTCCAGTTCTCAAATACAGTGGACGAATTAATTTTTCAAGTAAACGTCGCGAGGTTATAACATCCTCTTAGCTGATCGAGTGTTAGTTTGGTACAACGCGTTGATTGCAGCGTATACAACGTTGCCAAGTTGTAATAATTTTACCAACTACGCGTCGATTGCTTTAAAAATATTTTTATTTTAAAAATCTATATCTTTTTACTAAGACGGTCAAAAAATTCAGCGTTTCTTTAGAAAATTTTATACCTTCTTGATTTACATTACATTAGTTTTTAAAAAATATGGTAAGAACAGTTTTCGAGATATCTAGAAATAAATGCATTACTTGTGTACATGAGAGGCTTCAAGAGTGTTAATTATGCACATTTTGATTGTTAATATCTCGTTTCACAGACGATCAAAAAAATTTAATTTTTTTTATTTACATAAAAGACACTTTCATTAACTTTATATTTCAATTTTATTGAATTCTTAAGAAAAGCCGTTTTACGAGTGAACTACCTTAAATGAAGTGGATGGTATTATGTAGTAAAGAATCAAGCTATAACGAAGTTGATTATTGGAGAAAATAGAGATAATATTTGAAACATGCATGTTAGAAAAGAGGAATATGCCAGGGGTTAATCAAAAATCGCATAACTCTTGGGAAGAGTGAAGTTAGGTAACTTTGTTGTAACAATTTTTGATTTATTGTTGGTTGTATAACACCATCCATTTGTATTAAATATGTAATATATAAATAGGTACATGCAGTATAATTATCGATTATTAATCAATTAGAAGTATAGGAAATTATTACATTATTGTGAGTGATATAATCCATTGAATACAACTTTTGCTATCGGATCTATAGACAATCGCATAAGCTAATGCATGAAACTTTATACTATTTTTAATATATTTTTAGACTTCATCCATAAAAGAAGACAACGGTTCCATCTTTACTACCGAAGATTTACAAAAAGTAGCAAGAGAAAGATCCGCCTCTTACATTGTAACTACCCAAGACTTACTAAATAAGCAAAAAGAACTTCTTAAGCCTTCTACTCAGTCTTCCAGTACCAGCTGCATAAATGCCATTTTAAACACAGGAGTTGCTGACATTTTAAAAAGAGTGATGAACAAGAGGCGCGATATTATGACACCTGATGATATGTCATCAATGACAAGACGAAGCTTCTCGGAGTGGAGCAGCAAATGATTTTTGTTTGTTAAATATTACTACAAAAGTAAATACCATGCATCATGTATATATTATAATTATTGTGTGAACAACGTGCAATGATAAATGAAAAAACTTGAGTGTTGTCTATTATTTATATGTAGAGGTATATACTTAAACATTAAATATTAAAATTTATAAAGTTTTTATCATTTCTTGAACAAAAATATATTCTTGGTTTGTTTGTTCCTCAAACTTCATTATAGACAGTAAACAATTTTAGGAGGAATGTGCAACAGAGTTGTCATATATATTGAAAAAAGAATTGCTTTAAATATAAAAATATTGCATATAATAGTATATTACGTAACAAGAGTTGTAAGTAACCCATAACGCACGAAGTGAAAAAGTTTACGCACGAATAAGCCGCGCAGCGGCGCGTGCGTAAATTTCACGAGTTCGTAATGGGCTTACAACTCTTGTTACGTAATATACTAATATTATATGCATTATTTTTATATATATTTAAAGCATAAAAAATATGTCTTGTACCGAAAATATCTGAACGCGAAAGCGAAGGCACAAGGAAAAATTAATTCAATAGGTCCTAGATGAAATATAGCTAAAGAACGCAGTTTTAGTGTATTAATATAAGACTCCCTCCTATCTAATCATTGCGAATTAAATCCGATTGAGTTATTATGGGCCAAAGTAAAGGCGAATGTCGCGTGTAAAAATACTACTTATTTCAAATTGGCAGACGTAAAATAGCTATTTATGAAACCAGGTGCGAAATGCCTAATTTGATGTAACGAGTGAATATCTGCGGGACGATCAGAGCGAGGTCCCGCAGCATGAACGAGTTACATAAAAGGGCCCCTGGGGCTTTTGTGGCTTTGCTTGGGATTTTTGAAAATGTTCCCTAATTACCTGCCTTTTTGTGGCTGTGTAATTAAGGCCAGTTTTCAAGAACTTATTTGCCCTTATTCTGGATTATCCACCTAGGCGGGCAGATTTTACCTCGTCTTCAGGCATTTGGTCTACCTCTTCCAGGTAGGAGACGACGTTACGCCTCTTTGCTAGCTTTTCAGCCTTCGCAAAAAGAGTTGATTCGTATTTTATTCCCCTTTCGAGGTTGACGTTGTTGCCTTTGCTTTGTTCAGCATTGTTTTTAGAATCAATTTTTGCTCCCACGAGTGTAGCTAGGGAACAATAGGCCACTACACAGCAGATCCCCGCACACCGCATCAGTAAGTTCATGATACTCTGGGAGAAGACCCGGTGTTCCAGAGGCGCCGTTTGCAATACCTTAACCCATGTATCATTCAATCTTCCGCACGGGTCGCGTTACACCTTAACCTGGGGAATAGGTTCGCGGCGACAGTTTTCTCAAAAATTTTGGGGATTTTTAAGTCTCCTCACCCTACTTATATCAGCCACTAGTCAGAGATTCCTTCCTACTATCAGTACTATCCACCATCTGAAGACGCGCCCGGTAGACTCTCAACCCTTGGGATCATAGTGATCATACTACTTAAATAATCATCTATGAAATTTGAAATTCCTTTAAATTAGAGTGTAGCTGATCTATCTCAATTTTAGTTTCTGGCTCTGATGGTCCTCTATTGTAATTAGGCATTCCAACGACCTGTCCAAATGGCTACCAGTGGGTAATGACAGTTTAGATATGGCAACCCTGTTGTCACGTTGTCATTAACAGGGTCAATGATACATATATAGTTATATAGATTGCTCAAAGCTGGTCGTTTAGGAGCGGCCATATTGCTTGGCAAATATTTATTAATTTCAATCGGTTTAGCAAAAATATGTTTTAAAACCTATTTTTAACCTTTAGATATATAAAAAAAATAATTGCTCACATTTTTAGTTCAAAGCATACGCTTATGTTTATTTTGAAAAATATGGATAATCAATCTATGTAACTATCTATTTAATTGAACTTGTCAAATCACCAGGCCTACAGGGTTGCCATAATTTTGCCATATCATAACCCGTCAAAACCTACTGGTAGCCATTCAGTTTGGAATGCCTAATTGTAATCTCGACGAATGTTAGAGTCATGACAGATGTTGGCATTCCATTACACATTCCAGAAAATTACAATTGCCGCGTTTGAGAATCCACATCGGATGCATTTTTTACATCTCGAGCGTTTTTTTATCCACATCGGACACATCTGTCCCATTACATTTACGTATACTGAATCACGTGATCAAAGATTTTTTACATCTCAGTTGCATCCGATGTGGATTCTCAAACGCGGCAAATAGATGTATTCCAAAAAATAATTTCGTACTTTACTGAAGAGCGTATATAGAAAGAGTCTAGGCACAGAATACTTTATTCTGTGGTCTAGGACTTATGACATTTGAGTAATAACATAACATAACCTCAATTCATATTTATGTCAAGTTTTGTTTTGCTTACAATTTTTATTAAATGGCTCAATCAAATTCTTTGATGTTAGAATTAAATGAAGCAGTTCTAAAGAAAACTACAAATTTGTCCTATTTAAATGAACGCGTTGCTGGTTACAACTGGAATGAAGGGCTTAACTATGATAAAATTTTACAAAGTTACCTACATACAGGGTTTCAAGCTACAAATTTCGGATTAGCAGTAGAAGAAATTAACAAAATGTTACATTGTAGAAAACAAGCAATTCCAGAAGAAAAGTTCATTGATAATGACGACGAGTTTACAGTTGTTAAGAATAATTGTACTATATTTTTAGGATATACCTCAAATCTTATTTCTAGTGGTCTAAGAGAAACTATAAAGTTTTTAGTTAAGAATAAAATGGTAAGAAATATACATTTTTTTTAAAGACATTATAGTTGAATTTAGACTAAAATCTTTTTCATTTTAATGTAAAAGTTTACTTGTGGAGCAGCATCAAACAACACTAATAACAAGGGAATGATCATGTTAGATTTCGCATAACATTTTTTATTTATAAAATAAAACATTGATTATTTCCGTCACCTAAGAATGTCTTAGGTAGTTGACCCTTATAGTACTTGTGGAAGGGGGACACTTAATTTACATTTGAGTTATGGGCAATATAAAACTGGACATTTTTACTTATGATGCAGATTGTAACAATTATCGTCTTGTTTCATACATGCTGAAAAAAAAAATCCTTTCAACTGTCCATTATAACCAAAAATGTGATGCAAGTTTTGTCGGATGTAAAAACCTGGTTTACCATGACAACCATATCAACATACACCTCTTGAACCACATATAATGAAAGGTTCGATAAAGAAATGTTAATTTAACTATGCTACTATATTGATTGGTTTTATTATTTACTATAAACAAAAGAATTGTAAGTCATTTTAATTTTATTAAATAAAAAATGTTAGGTCAAATGTAACACATGACCTTCGGACACAACCTTTTCTGTTTTAAAAAACCAGTAAATCATAGTGGAGAATCATAAATTTAGATGAAATATCCCCCTCTTTCTCCATCAGGTAGTCCTTAATAATTATTAATTCAATAACATGCTAAATAATTTAATATAATAAAGGAGAAACATCGAGAAACATACAATATTACACATTGATATTCATTACAGATTGGTCAGTTCTGTATGTCCAGAAATTAAAATATACCTATTTTTTTGTGTAACTAGGAATAGAAAAAATGCAATTGATTATTTAGGTCAAATTGATATGATAATCAACATATTTTGAGGCAGACAATAACTAATCCAAACATTTTTTCTTTGATATTAGTGACATGTAAATTCTTAAACTAATAATGCACTTTATTAGTAATATATTTGGAGAACGTGTGTTAAATACTATTATTCCAGATTGTGTATAAGTATGGAGGGTAAAGTTGTAGAAGAGGTATGTACCTACTACTGCACATGCTGATGTGTAAGTTATGTGAACATTCAAATATTTGAGAGCATTGTTGTCATGTTGTAATACTTAGAAATACCTGCAATTTCATCACTAAATAAATGCACCTCCTGTTAATTTTGCATTGTTTTTAATTGTAGTTTTGATACATTATTAAAATGAGTGGAAAAGATGAATCATTATTTCAGATGGTTGAATGGTGTGTACAATAATATTAACCAACTAAATGGTGGCATGTATGAATGTCAAGTCATTGTACATGAACAATATTCATTCTTTATTAAGTCAGTAAATATTAAGTTCCATTTCCTATATTTATCAATTATTTTTCCAATTCGTTTTTTATTTATCTAGTTATAAATTATTAGAATCCCTCCAAGCTAGTAAAAGGTTAATTATGGTGTGGAATGGAATACTTTCAGTAACCAGTAAACATTTTTTTCAATGTATTCATTAATTGTACTTATTAAATATTATTCATTAATATTATATTCATAATCTCGCAAAGTTGCATCAAAAAATTGGATGATGTATATCCAGCATGCGGGTTGGTACATACTTTTCCTACAATTTAGCTGTAAAAATGGTAATACGTCATGTGAATATTGAAGGAGCTTATTCCTTGGTTATATGACTGAAATTTCAGATGAATGTGTGCTTAAAATTTCTTTTTAATATACAGGTTGTTTATTTCTATTTGGAAATCAATTTGTTTGCTCTCCAGGATGCCACTGAACAATAATTTTAATCTAATGAGGTTTAAATATAATTATCCTGTTAGTAGGTACTACAAAAAACCTACCAAATTAAATTAAAATTGTAAAAAACACCCTGTATTTTAAAAAAATCAATTTAGAGTACGTTTATATGAAATTTTAGTCTAAATTAGGCCAAGGAATTATCTCCTTCAATATTGACATGTCATTTAAAAATACGCAACTCACATATTTCACATTACAAATTGTAAAGTGACCATTCATTTCCATTATGCAGCAAAGCTATTAAATACTTCTCCAGTAACAGAGAAGGTTAATAAAAATCTATAACATTTCTCTCTTTGGTCCGGTTTTAAAATGGTCACTTTACAAAATGCACTGATGAATAGAGAGATTACATTAATCTTGAAAACTGTATCAATAATATTACTGCTATAATGTTTTTACAGCAATATGTATTTATTGTATTGAATGTCTTGGTCTTGTGTGTAAATGAACAAAATGTTTATTGGTCTAACTTAACTGATAATTTATTATTATAGACTATTTCACTGATTATGGCATGTACGCCATCACTAATTTGCAAAATAAAAAAAAACAAGCAATTAGAATAACTAGAAGTGGCGTCGATAGATGTACAAGTTACCACCAACGTAAAATTAAATATTAAAAATCTAATGGCCTCTCCACAAATTTGACCTGAAGCCGCCCTTGGTTGGCCCAAACTGTAGTTGTTACTTCTCTTAGAACACCAATCCAAATCGAAAGGTAAACTACTACAGCCAAAAGTACCTATCTAATTTCACAGAAATCCTTAATTTTATACAATTTCGATGAAATCTTATATAATTTGCGAAAAAATGATTTCGGTAATGTTTTCAGGAATTTCGTGTTGATTTTAAAGATTTTACAGAGGTTTGTTTCGTGAAATTTAGACTCATAACTTCCAAAGAAACAACAAAATGTTCTCAAAAAATTCTCACTTCTTGTTTATTTAACACTATAATACATCAACCAATGATGACAATCATCTTTTGTTCTAACACACACCAATCAAAACAAACTATATCTAAAAACACTGCATGCTGCAGTGTTTTCACTCAATCCCGATTGGATTTAAAAAATTCAATTCATTATCAGAGTATGTAACATATTTGTTTCTGATTTAGGATTTTTTCAATATTTCAACCCCCTTTTTCCCCATATTTATTCAGATTTGTTTCAGAATCAATGGGCTTCATTCCATTATAGAGCTTGATTTTTACTAAAAATTTCATGTTGATATCACTTTAGGTTTTTAATTTCTATTTTTTTTATTGCAACTCTCCCTAACACCTTATTTTGTTAACAATTTTTTTTAATCAATAGGCTTTGTCTCCTTATAGACTTTATTTTTGCTAAAAGTTTCAAGTTGATATTATTTTTCGTTTTTTAAATTAGGATTTTTGTAAATATTTCAACCCTCCTTAACTCCCCAGAGTCAAAAGAGCATACATTGCTTATGAACAATGCCAACGAACCGTGGGGCGCACCTGGGGTTTCTCCCCCACCTATATAGTTTAATTCTAAAAAATTTGGCTCTTAAAAGAAATTTCAGTCGTTTTACTGTTGCTATTTGGCTCTGCTGACTAATGAGATTGTCGACCACTGCTCTAAACCAACTCAATCAGATTGTACTGACAATGATATGGAGGCAGTTGCAATACCTGATTTACTTGTTTGTGCAGTAGTTCGTCTATTACGTATCTAGTATTTATTTTTTATTTATTTACGGAAAATCTCCTTTTACAAAATAATTATTATCAGTAGATATTTTAAACCTAACCTAAAGTATCACACAAAAAAAGAAAAAACTTAAATATCTTAAATATCACAAAAAACTTAGAGCTAAAGCTAACTCGATAAGTACTCCCTCAGCTGATTTTTAAACCTAAACCGACTAAATCCCAAAAGATCAGTGTGTCTGTTAATTTCATTTCCTTGCCTTTGAAATCTGGTTAAAGGACTGTTGAGTCCGTAGTTCGTATGATGGAAGCTAATTGAAAAGAATGGTTTCTCTCTAATATTTATGTTGTTTAATCTAAAGTTTATTAGCTCCAGCATATCCGGACAAGCTATATTCCCTTCCAGAAGGTTATAAAGAAATAAAAGATCATTACTAATTAACGTTTTCTCAACTGACAATAAGTTTAAATGGTTATTAAGCTCCCTCTTAGAAAGATAAGGCATATGTAACCTCCACTGACAAGTTCTTAGAAACCTATTTTGAACTGCTTCTAAATTTAAAATATGAGTCCGGTAATGAGGTGACCAGACTGGAAGCATATAAGAGGATGCTGCGCACTAGTGTTAAGTAAAGGGTTCGGAATGTAGGCACAGAGAATTCCCTAGAGTTCCTGGTCACAAATCCCAATGTTTTTAGAGCTCTACTAATGATGGATCTCATGTGTGGGACAAATGTCAAACAACTATCGAAGATCCTTGATTTCACTAACTTTCTCCAAAACAGTAGTATTGATCAATTGAACAATATCTAATGTTAGAAGTTTATACATGAACACAATATGCTGTTACATACAAAAACATGAGGTACTAAAAAAACCTCTGGGTCATCAACACAAAACCAGAACTTTTAGTAACTTGAATATTAAAATATCTATGCCTAATAGTGAATCTTTCAAAAATTGTATAAATTACTTAGGACCAAAGTGTTACAATGCTTTACCTCCTGAGATCAAATTAATTAACAAACAACATTTATTTAAGAAAGCGTGCAAATCCTTCATCTACCAAAACTACTCAAAATTGTATAGATTCTTCTTAGAATAACACACATCTCACTGTAATATGTTGGAACCCTGTAGATTACAAGATTATAACATTATTACATATTATATAATATAACATTGCTGCCTTATTACATTTAACATTTATATAAAAATACATTAACTTTATATTTTAGTTTTTTAATCTTTATGTATTAGTTTTTTAGTCTGTCTAGCACATACAGGTGCCCACACCTAGGTGCTAACTTATTTACCTATGATTAATTTATAATTTGTTTATTGTTGTAATTAATCATGTTATATAATTAATCCTGTCATAAATAAATTGAAATTGAAATAAATTGAAATTGATATTATAAAGAAAATGTATAGGGTGAAGGTGATTGAAAAACATTTACGTGGATTTAAAGACATGGCATTATTTGAAGCCCAATTAATAAAATAGTTTAAATCATCCTGTAACTTCAAACAGTCAGGTAAGTTTAAGATTTCCATGAATAATTTCAGGTCATCGGCGAATAGTAGGAACTTACAATATTTAAATCCTGAAACCACATCGTTAATAAATATATTAAATAGTAATGGTCCCAAATGAGATCCCTGGGGGACACCTGAACTTACATTTATTGGAATCTAAGTAAAACTTTTAACTTTGACATATTGAACTCTGGATTGCAGGTAACTTTCTAACCATTTCACTAAGTAGTTTGGAAACCCGAATTTCACTAGTTTCCTTAAAAGCAAATCATGGTTCACCGTGTCAAATGCCTTCGAGAAGTCAGTGTAAATTGAGTCAACCTGACACCCCCTCTCGAAGGCAGAAATGATATAATGTTCGTAGAGCAGTAAATTTGTAAATTAGTAGACTTACCTCCCATAAACCCATGCTGTTGTTCAATCAAAATGTTTTTGCAATGCCATGACAAAGGTTTATATAACAATAATTCTAATAATTTGGGTATTGCAGAAAGTAAAACTACAGGGCGATAGTTAACTATGTCATCTTTCTGACCATTTTTAAATATGGGGGTAATGAAACTATCACGCCATTTTGCAGGAAACTGTTGTAATTTCAAAGAGGAATTAAATAAAAACTGTAGTGGTTTGGAAAGAGTGAATTTACATTTTTTCAAAAAATAAGCAGGGATTCCATCTGGACCATAACTCAATTTATCTTTTAGGAGGTAATACCATCATAAACATCACTTAAGGAAAACTATAAAGGGAATATCAGGCTGGTTAAAAGCATTATAATGAAGGTTTGGTTCTTATAAACACTGGAGAAATGCGTAGCAAACAAATTACTGATGTCTTTCCCATTATCAGCAATGGTACCTTTATAATATATTCTATTGGGAATACCATGGTCTTGTTTCAAAGAATTAATGTGGTTCCAGAAGTATTTTGTATTTTCACAAACCTTCAGATCTATACCAGAAATATAATTTTCATAATTTAGTTTTGATAAATTTTTACATTGAGACCGAAGGTTAGAAAAAATTAAGTAATCAACAGCTGAGCGAGTACTTTTGAATACAGCATGAGCTGCCTTCTTGCGAGAAATCAACTTTTTAAGTTCAGCTGAAAACCATCTAGGGTATACTGATGGTTTATATCTCCTAACAGGTACAAATAAAGCTAATGCCAATTTTAAAATCTGATAAAAAATTTCAACACTAACATTAATATCATTATTGACTAAAATGCCCTCCCAATTAATTGGAGCAAAATAATTATTATAATCCGCTTCTTTCAAGTCATAAAAAACAATGTCACAAGACAAGGGACTAATATCACTGACAGTTAATTCACATGAAATTGCAACATGGTGGAAGTTATTAGGCAATAAGGTGTCTACAGCTGTCTCGATAGTAACCGAATTCCTAGCGTCATTGTTACAAAAACATAAGTCGAGGAATATACCGTGCTGATTTGGAATTCCATTGGCCTGACTCAAATTCAAGTAGGAAAAACTCTCACCAATTATTACGGCTAGATATTCTGCAGGGCAAGAGACAGAGAGACCAACATCATAGGAATAATTCCATGTAGCATGTGGAAGATTATAGTCCCCAAAAAGGTATAGCTTATTGTTAGGGTTGTTTTCCACTATATGCTCAACAGCAGAACAATGATCAATATAAGCATCATGATTTAACCCTGGTGGAATGTAGACAGCGCCAAAAATAATAGTTTCATTATTGATCGATAATGAAACAAATAAATGTTCAACATTAATAAACTGAGTAGTAAGATGTGATGTTTTTTATTTACTTTTAACTAAAATCAAGACACCACCACCTCTGGTTCTTGAGCTAGTATGTCTTATTCATGCGACAGAGATTTAACAGCTTTATTTTAAAAGTTTGTCAAAAAAACTTATTCTTCGTAACAATTCTTGTAACATCGATTTGGTCTAGAAGCTCAGAGCAATTTTTTTATTAAAGAAATGATAGCCATGGCGATTAGCAATGGTTCCTCCAGAATTGGTATTAACTTTTCACAAAGCCGTTTTTTTTAATTCCATACAATCATAATAGTCTAAACTCTTTGATTTTGTGGAAAATAGTAAACCCACATCTTCAACAAACCCATTGCTATTTCCAACATGTACAACTACGAAACGATAACAGGACATTGTCTATTCTGCGGCGTGAAAGACGAATCCGCAGAGCACTTTCTATGTACCTGCTCCGCTTTGGAAATAAATGGGTTTCAGATCTTCGGATTTACCCGACTGGAGCCCACATACTTTGGACAAGTCTCACCCAACTCAACCATGTCATTCATCAAATGATATGGCTTGTATGGTGAACAATAGGCTAGATATATGAGCCACATTTGGGTCGCGGTGGAAGGCGATGAGATAATCTCATTCATTTTCAACTACGAAGTGTTTATCGGTATTTTCGTGACCTTTTTTAACCTCTTCAAATTTTCTTATTGCTATGAACGTTTATATGACCCTTCAAAAATATCCACGTTTCGTCTAGGAAAACAAATTTAAGTAGGATTGGAAATGTTTCATGTATTGTTTTAAAAAAGTATGTTTAAAAATAGGAGTTGCTTATTATTTTCAATTTTGTATGACAATCTAGTCTCTAAACGCCATAAACTTGTATCCATGGATCCTTCGAAATAAAGATGAGACGTTTAATTATATTTGCAAGTGAGAAAAATAAAGAAATGCTCTCGTGAATTGGCTAACTGCCTGCGTGAATGGATAGATGGATACACCTCTGCCACTAGTAGTCTGGTGCGCACTGTTCTACCTGTCTAATCATTAGTAACGCCTATTCCATACCGTTATTGTGGGAAACTTAACATATTGTATATGTTTATTCTTCAATTCTACATTTAGTATTTTGAGTGTATCGTGCTCTCCTCTTGCTTTCATGTAATAAAATACATTTTTAATTGCTCCTTTTACAGTAACTTTAACTTCGACACAATGTGCGATTGTCCTGAATGATAAAACTGTCGCATATTATTGCAGGTACACGCCAAAATCAGTGAAATGGACTTTATGACCTAATTTAAATATTAGTATCATAATACTTATATTTGTAATAAATATTTTTAGGTTGACTGTATTGTTACTACTGCAGGTGGTATTGAAGAAGATATAATTAAATGCCTTGCACCTACTTTTGTTGGAGATTTTAGTTTAGATGGTAAATCGCTCAGGGAATGTGGTATAAATAGGGTAGGGAATTTATTAGTTCCAAATGACAACTATTGTAGCTTTGAAAATTGGATTTTACCGATTTTGGATGAGCTATTAAAAGAACAAAAAGATGGTGTCCTGTGGACTCCTAGTAAAATAATAGAAAGACTAGGTAAAGAAATAAATAGTGAAGAAAGTGTATACTATTGGGCAGCAAAGAACAAAATTCCTGTATTTTGTCCCGCCTTAACCGATGGAAGTTTAGGAGATATGATGTTTATGCATTCATTTAAAAATCCTGGCCTGGTAGTGGATATTATTTCAGGTATTAAATGTATTCTTTAAATAATATAACAAAAATCAGAAAGTTTATGAAAAAAGATATATATCCTGGTATACACTGTGAAATTTTACAATGTTTATAGGTGATATAATGCTATCCTATGGACTTAAAAGTAATTAAAAAGAAAAAGACCCATCTTCTCAAACCTTACAAAACTGTTTAGTTTTTAAAATAAAGATTAAAATAGAGATTTTTATTCCTATTTAATAGTGATTATTTTTTTTTAGATTTAAGACGAATTAATCTAATGGCTATGAAATCTGTACATACTGGAATGATCATCTTAGGTGGAGGACTTATCAAACACCATATTTGTAATGCAAATTTAATGGTAAATATCTGTTTAATAACTTATTACCAATATTGTTTGATTTTGTTTTTTAATAAGCCAAAAAGAAACCAAAAAACAATTATTTGGTCAATCCTAATGAATGAAGAAGACAGTTTTTTTAAACAATTATTTTTTAAATATATTTAATATTAATAATACGAGGTTTTTTAGAGAAATGGAGCAGACTATTCGGTTTATATAAATACCTCTTCAGAATTTGATGGAAGTGATGCAGGTGCCAGGCCAGACGAGGCTAAATCTTGGGGGAAAATTAAAAAAGACGCTACACCTGTTAAGATATATGCAGATGCTACGCTCATATTTCCTTTAATAGTCGGTCAAACTTTTGCTAAAGATTTTTTTACGACAAATTCCAGTCACTAGATAATTTAAATAAAGCATTTTTATTATTATTCGAATGTGTTATTATACTCTTCACACTAGTATGTGAAGAGTATTTTAGTTCCATCCGTCCGTCCGATGTCACATTTTTGGCAGCACGATAAGTCAAAATTGAAGAATCATATCAATTTGAAATCTTCAGGAACAATCAAGCTCTACAAGGGGACGAAGCCTATTGATTTTGAAAAAATCTGAATAAAAATGGGGGAGTTAGAGGGAAATGAAATATTTAAAAAAATCGTTACTTAAGAACGAAAAATGATAACTTGATTCTAAAAAGAAATCCAAATAAATTGGGGGTTAAAATATTAAAAAAATCCTAACTCAAAAAAAAAGATATCAATTTGAAATTTTTAGCATTAATCAAGCTCTATAAGGGGAAGAAGCTTTTGATTTTGTAAAAGCTGATTAAAAATGTAAGGGTTTAAGGGAGGTTGAAAAAAAAAATCAAATGAAAAACGAAAAGTGATAACATTAAATTTTTAGTAAAAATGAAGTTCTATAAGGGAATGCAGCCTATATTCATTTTGAAAAAAAATCTGAATAAAAATGGGAGATTAAGGGTGGCTGAAATATTGAACAAATTTTAACTCTGAAACAAAAAACTATATCATATTGAAATCTTCAGGAAAAATCGAGCTCTATAAGGGAACGAAGCCTAATGATTTTGAAAAAATTCATGAAAAATGGGGGGTTAAAGGGGCTTGAAATATTAAAAAAATACTAATTCAAATTTTAAGCAAAAAAACAAGCTCTATAGGTGGACAAAGTCTATCAATTTAAAAAATAAACTGATTAAAAATAGGGTGTTTTAAGGGGGGTTGAAATTAAAAAAAAATCCTAACTCAAAAACGAAAAAAGATATCAACTTTAAATTTTTCATACATTGTGAATCACTCTGTAACCAAAAATATTTTTAATTGTACATAGGTGCTAATGTAATAATAAAACATATAGTAAACGTGTGTATTTGTGTATGCAACATAAATTCAATCTAGCTCGTAATTTTGAAAATAAAAATTTCGAAAATCTAAGCAAGTATATCGAAAACCAGTCATAGGATTTAGTTGAGCCTATTGATATTTTTGGTTACTAGGTTACTTAAAATGTCCTTTTTTATGGCATATGTCCTATTTTACTCTATGAAAGGGACCTGGCTTGTACAAAAATATACAAGCTGAGGACGAGGATATTTTTTTGTTACACCACACTCTCGACCTTTTTTTTAGAAGTTTAGTTCAAGGATGAGGACATTTTATAGATCTCCTATCAGCATCATAGTCCTTTATTCACTTTTCAAAAAGGTGGCTACTCTAACCAGGAAGGAGTAGGAGGAATAGAAGAGGGGAACAGGAGGTATAGAAAGTCAAGAGTAAGAGGAGAAAGCAGAAGAACCGGAAGAAAAAAGCAACGCGGAGATTTCGTTTTTTTTTTTTTCAAATTCAAAATTTATCGTTTAGTATTATTTTTTGAAATTTTTTAGGGGACCAAAGAAGCCACAACGCTAAAAGCGCTAGGATATTGGAACGGTTTAACCTTTCCAGAGTGGAACCATTATATTCGGTACTCATATTCATTACTCGTCAGCTGTAGGAATCAGAAGTACCTACTGAGTACCTACTCCTAAATGTAAAGTACTCGAAATTTTTTGAGTAGAGTCTCAACGTACTTACAAGTACCAATTACTAAGTACTTTGAGTACTCAAGTACAATTTACTCGAGTACTGTCCAGCTCTGATTATATGGCATACCACGTACTATGTAACAGTGGTTCCTAACCTTTTTTTTCGGCCAAGGATCACTTTTATTTTTTGTGGTTGGCAGGGACCACAGTGTTCAAAAATTATAAACCATGTTAATCTGAAAATTAACTTTGATCAAAACTTTTAACATATTCGTTAAACTTAATAATAGAAACATAAATTAAGAGTACTATTATAATATAAAAAAAAATCATTTTTAATAGAAAATTATATTAGGTTTCTTAACAAGATGAATAATCCTGGGGTTAATATTATTACTCAAAGCTACATTCACATCATCACCTATTTTCAATCGATTCCTGGACTTGTTTTTAATTACCAGAAAATCAGAAAACTCTTGTTCATATAAGTAAGATGTAAAAAACAGCATACATAATATAGCCCAAGGCGATTCCTCGAATTTTAGAACAAGAAATTACTTCTTTACACCAAAACTCTTGAAGAGATTCAGATACAAGCGCATCCTTACAGTTTCTTTTTGAAAAACAATGAGCTTTTCCTGAATTGCTAACAGACCAAAGGGTTACGAATTGGTTTCTTTAAACAAAATAAAATAACGTTTACATTTTGTTTACAAATATTATGAGCAATTTACTTTCGTACTTCTTAAATAAGTTCCATTTCTGAACAAACACTGGTTGTCGACTTTCTAGTGATAATCCGAAATAGATGTAAGTTAATGAAATAGCCTTATTTAGCCGAGAGACTAGTGGTATATAGTCTCACATGTTTGCCTTGTGGAGTGGACTGATATTTTCACCTGGGCATTTACTATCAGAGCGTCGATTCTCGACGCCCTGATAAAAATTATTTACAGCTAATAGCAAAAAAGTCAGAATTTCATCAACAAAATAGGTCAAATGTATCTTATAGATCGTAACAACAACGGACACTAATTTCCCCACGTCCCTTATATTCAAGAATAAAGGTTTAGATTCACCGGTGACCAAAAACGAGGATGTGATTTATCACTTTCAAGTATAGACATGTAAAATATTTTGTGTGATCAATTTCCTTGGCAAATGGTTAATATACTTGTTTAACATTCCAAAAGCTAGTTCATGTAGTTGCGAATCACGACAATAATGACAAGATGGAAAGTTTAATTTTTGCCAATTCGCATTATTCAAAATCTGGGGGCGGGAATCTTAAAACCGTTTTAATATTTTGCGAATATCGAACAAATTTTAAGTAAATGCATGCTCCTTGTTGTTTCCTGTTTTCGACCATTCACTGTTGGGTTCTAATTAACAGTGCTGTACCTAAAGTGGCGCTGGGAAACAGTAACAAAGCCTACACAGAACACGAGGCGAAATAACCTGCTTAGCAGTTGAAGCCGATGACACAACAAAAAAAATACTTGTGGCATTCGGAGACTGCCGCGGTAAAGCTATTGCATAGCATTTTTTATCAACTTGTGCAATTATAATTATTTATTTATTTTATTTATGCAGTATTTTTAAGTTACACTTTTTGAGCGCGATGACCGATAAGAAAACAATTTTTTTTCTTTTACTGAATAAATGAGAAGTAATATTGTTTAAAATATTTTTATTATCTTACAATACATGTAGGTTATTCAGGAATTTTTATCATTGAAACTATAGGTTTATGGTAACTGAAATAAGAAACATAAGTTTGAGACTTGATATCCTCTAAATATCTGGAAAATACCGCGTCAATGGTGGTCCCATATTTTGTTGTGGATTCTTGTGGTTCATTATTCATTTTCAAATTCAATTTTTCCGAAATTGTGTCTAAAAGAGATAGAATCAGTTAGCAGCTAGTCTACACGCATACGTCTAGTCGCACGCACACAAACACCGTGGCGAAGTCTGCCGAACTAAAACAACATTAGACGATGCACGGCTTTCAACGACGCCTGTGCCGGTCGGAGTGGGGTGTTAGGATTATTTTCGTTACGGAATTTCTGTTTTTCGATTTTCTTTTATTGAATAAATGAGAAGTTAGTATTGTTTAACGCCGCACCGCTGTGCCGGTCGGAGTGGGGGGTGTTAGGTTTTTTTTTGTTACGGTCGTTACGGAATTTCTTGATTCGGTCGCCGCACTCAAAGCCCGCGATAAAAGCTATGCAATAGCTTAAAAAAATATTTCACAGACGTAAACTGATATTAATTCTATTACTTTGTCTTTTTTAACAAATAATAAAACAAATCCAATTCATTATCGTATTCGTCATTCATTTTATTTTATAAAACTCTTATTTATAGGTAGCAGACACGAATAGGGGTTATGTATTATTGTGGAACAACTACCGAATATGTTTTAGTGAAAATAATAAATATCCCAGAATCCTGTCAAAACATTCGCAGTTACATGAATAGACAAAAAAAATATACTTTTTTGCGAATTTCGTAATTCGCGATTCGCATCTACATGAACTAGCCTTAAATTGCATCGTATATGATTATGTAGGTTCAATAATTTCATTTCTTTAGGTACCAATCAACGACGAAAAACTACTAGACCAATCCATTGATTCATAATTACGCCCTTATTTATTGCAATCATTAAGAATGCAATTATACTTACACTCTAATGTAATTTTAAACGCCTTTTGTACGTTTTAGAACCTTATGTTAAGTTAATACCGAATTATAATCATAAAAACATTCTTGTAACAAGACTCCCATACTCTGTCATAATAATTTGACAACTACTTGGATAACACCGTGAATGTTTCCAATTTGATTTTTATAAACAAAATTAGTCCAGTAGTTGTTCATCGTTGATATTTTTTGTCTTCCATGGCCATGCTTTACAAAATGGACGACGATTATTTTTTTATATATTCGATTTTCCCATATTTTAAATAATATTGTGAATCTAAATTAATTGCTGTAATATTAATAGATTGTTTTAATGATACTTAAATATTTTTTGAGATTTCTTGTAATTTTTTATTATCACGTGTTAAAAGATGGAAAGACATTTGTATTATAAGTGATTGACACCATGTTTTTATTTCATAAAAATAAAGGAGACCAGGGGAGCTTAAAGTAGACCGAGGGGTGTCGTAAAAGTAATTAAATATCACCAGGCCAACTTAAAGGAGAGAGACTTAGAGTAGCCAACTTCGCCAGCATACCTAAGAGTGGTTAACTCATAAAGTCCCTCCTGGAAAATTGCAGAGTAAAATTTGAGGAAGGGTCAGTCCTCATCCCGATCGAACTGCTCCAGTCTCAACCGGCTACCACGAAAATAGTTTAGTATTATTTGACACCTACCATTTTTACCGAGAACATTTAAAAAAAAAACTAGTTACCTACTAAATTGTCTTCTCATTCTTCTCATTAAATTTACTTTTTTTCTTAAAGTACTACAACTGTTTACTCATGAGTAATTTTACAGCCATTATATATTTTTAAATTTTATTACGTAGTTTTTTTTTATTTCTTACTTTCAGCTGACAAGTTCATGGTACTAAATACGTGGCGTCCACAAGCATTAATTGAATTATCTTTTTAACTAAAGATAATGCCATTAACTTGTTGGTTCAATTTTAGCTGAATCTCACCGACCCGTAAATTTAATTTACATCAGTATCTGAGCTAGACCGAAGGGTTGTAAAATCCTGTGGTACAAGGTTTTTTCCAACGTTACATGGGTCTAACAGAGTTGAAGCCTAACAGGTAACAATTTGTATCATCCACGTTAAAATATTGATATACAACGGAGTTTTAAAAGAAAATCTTATATAATAAATTAAAAATATCATTATTTAATAGTAAAAAAGGCAATTTTTTCAACATATACATACAATCTTGTAAATAAAATTCTATATGTATAAATTTCATTCTATTAATAGTACTTATGTAAAAATGTATATATGTTTTTTTATTGTAAGAGGATGATTGATAACTATCAACAGTTTATGAATGAGTATTAATTTTAAAATATCTTGCTTGGGATAATTCGACGGCTTTCGATAAAATTATTTGTACATCCATTGGAGGAAAATTTTGGAGAAGTTTCAAATTGGACGGGAAATCACCATCTAATAGTTGGTTTCTTAAAATTCTAAAATTAAACATTGTTATCAGTTGGATTAGTCAGCTATGAGTAAAATTATCACTTACACTATCATTGCGCAGCATACATATATGAGAAAATTAAACCTTTTTTTGTCTGAGAATAGTGAGTCCCATATTCTAAGTACATCGGGTAAAGGAAATTCTTGAGAGAGCAATAGAGTTATCCACCTAAAATATTTTTCAAAATTTAAATTTATTTTAATTGAGGTACAATTTTTTATTCATATTCTTTATCTAATGAATGTCCCAAACAGTTTTATACAAATGGGAGTTTTATCTAACATTTCACAAAAAGTATTCTTCATAAAAAGTTCTGCATTACTTGAGAATCCATAATCAAGCATTAACTTTTGTAAAATATAGGTGGTATACAGAGAAAACAAAAATATTGATTTAAAACGAAGGGTAAAATACTTTTAAATTTCAGTATAGAGCAAAATATTAATTAAAATAAATATGTCAAGTTTAAATTATTTCATTTATTTTTAAGTGATTTTAATTTACTTTATTCAATAAATAATCCCAATGCTAAAGTGTATAATGGAAATTTTTAAATTTTACAATATTTATACTTGATTATGGTTTTCCAGGTGATACATAACTTTTTGTCTAGAATCATTTTTTTTTCTTTTTTGTGGAATGAAAGATAAGCTTTTTTCCCATTTATATAAAACTTGGGAGACACTGCATATTTTTAGGAGTGTTTTTGTTTGCGCTGTCTTCCTTACAAGATTCAACCGGTAGAGGAATTAAAACCTTGCAGATCTTTATCGACGTTTAGCATATGCAGTCAGATTTTAACAATTGGCAAAGGAAGAACCTGCTTTTATTCACAAGCTGATTATGTTCTATGAAACTCACTTTCACCCTCAATGGCTTTGTCAATAAGCAGAATTGCAGGATAGTGAGTACCGAGAACCAAAAGTGATATTTCAACAAGAATTACACCAGTAAATATACGGTTTGGTGCGGAATAACATCACATGCCATGATCCGGCCGTCCTTCGAAGATGACAATGGTAAGATAGTGACAGTCAATAGTAAACGGTATTGAGCCATGCTCGAAACCTTTGTACGTCCTGCAGTGGAATATTCTTTCAGTAAGATGGGGCCACTTGCCATTGTGCTGAAGCCACAATTCAAGTTTTAAGAAATATTTATGGAAAACAAATAATTTCGAGAAGACCTATCTCAATCTCCAGATCTCACAGTCCCTAACTTCTTTTTGTGGGGTTATTAAAAGAGAGGGTGGTATGTGAACAAGCCTCGAAGAATTCCACATCTAAAGGAATACATTTTCGCATAAATTAGGGCAATTCAAGCAATCACACTGACGGGTGTCATGGACTATGCACTATAAAGAAGCCAAACATGGGCGGCATTTAAGATATTTTTAAATTTTAGTGTAATTAAATCTCCAATACTTATTTTATTGCAACTAAATATTAATAAACAAAAAAGTTACCATACTTTTTTTATTCATTATTGTTATTGGGGAAACTCCCACGAAAATTGAAGTTTGAGTAACTGCTCTAGAGTTTAAGGTGATTTCAGTGCTACAGTAGAATTTAGTGAGAAATCGTTAAATGTGCAGTACAGTACATTTTTCACTGATTTGTTACAGTCGATCTCTAAATTTCAATAATATAATGAAACTTTAATTTTCTGCACACATACACGCATATGAGTAGATCGAATAAAACAGGCTTTGGTTTTCATACATTCACTCCCGTTGGCATCTTCATCAAATTGGCGTTGGACCAACGCCGTTGATGCCAAATTTTTGAGCTGTTGGAAAAATGCTATGCAAATAAATTCTTTACTGACTTCCTGACTATAGCGTGTTTGTAGCAACTAAACAGATACATAAAATGTAACAGTTAAGAGAATTTTTCTTCATATCATGTCAGAACTTTCGGCCCTTCAGTGGTTTTATTTAACATTATAATATATATTGTAATACCAAATCCTTTAATCCTTTTTTGATGATGGATATGATTACGATTGTTTTATAATTACATGAGTCTCATGTTGTCTTCCTTTTAAAACCGCTGGTACAACTCTTTAAGGAGGTCCTTTCGCCACACCTCTCGCTTCAAATGTTAAAAAAAAAGTTATTAGATTATGACTAAAATTAATTTTTTTCTAATAGTTGAAGTCCTTATTTATCTAATACTGAACTTTTAACTATACCTTACCTTGCAAATTTTTGAGAATTTTTTTTTAAAAATGTGAGTATTTGTACAGTGCCTCACGAGAAAGTAAGTCCTCAACAACAATTCTCAAATTATACTATTATTTATTGATTAGATGGAGTAGAAAAAAACTAAAAATAAGGTTTTTGAAATATTTAGATTTTGTTTTATACAATAAAATATATATAGTAAACCGTGGAACTTATTGAGAAATTGATATTAAAAAATCACAAAAAATTTTCAAGTAACCTAGTTGAAAATTTTTTGTGATTTTTTAATAATAATTTCTCAATAAATTCCACGGTAACCTATATATTTTATTGTAAATAACAAAACCTAAATATTTCAAAAACCATATTTTTAGTTTTTTTCTACTCCATCTAATCAATAAATAATAGTAAAATTAACTATAATTCGAAAATTGTTGTTGAAGTCTTACTGTCTCATAAGACACTGTACAAACACACATTTTAAAAAAAAAAAATTTCTCAAAAATTTGTACGGTAAGGTATAGTTAAAAGTTCACTATTAGATAAATAAGGACATCTACTATTAGAAAAAAATTAATTTTAGTCATAATCTAATATTTTTTATTTAACATTGGTGGCGAAAGGACCTCCTTAAACCAAATCCTGACCCTAAAATCATAAGAAAGGCCATGAACAAGAGAAGCACACATGAGATTCACGTTATCATAACTATAACCCCCTCTACCAAGCGAATGAGATGAAAAGGAAAGAAAGAAAAAAATTAAAACCATGAATAAGACTGTCCGATTGGGACCAAACTCTCTGACAATATAAACAGAAAAATGTTAAATTTCAATTACCAAACTTTATTCCCAAGGAAAATTATAATGTAGATTCAATAGAATTGGGCGATAATATCAAGAACTGTTATTTTAATCTTGGTAAACAGCTATTTTCTGTAATGTTTTTCTCAAATATTTTCCAAAAAAACATTATCGAATATTTAATTTGTTAATGATTTGAGGAAACATAACCTTATTTATGTGAATTTTACTAATCACTGTAACGATTCAAAGTGTGATACAACAATCTGGTATGTCCCATATGTAAAGTTGTTGAAGTCTAATACCGTACAGTACCGGTCATATATGCCTCATACCCGAATATTAAAATGAATGGTACAATTAATGATAGTTTATTCTGTACAAGTTTCGTGAAAAAAAAAATAAGAAAACTAGATCTCCCATAACTGGAGTGAAACTTTAATTTTAGCTGTCATCGCCCAGAGAAATCTTGTATGGGACATATTTGCTCCATACCGTTACGAACGTGATAAGGAGTTACACAAAGGTAACTATTTTTAAATGCTTTGTGAATGTAGATGATCATTCAAAAGGGCTTCTTTTTTCTCGGTCATAAAATGTTTTTTAGAGATAAAATTTAATAGTCTAATTAGAATATAATTCAAATAAATTGAAACCTGTTTCATTTTCGTTAAAAATTTACTTAAATACTTTATTCGTGTTTTTGTCTTATTCCAGACTGGATTTTTAGTAAGCTTCACAATCTTAGATGAGTATTTTAAATATTTCTTATAATTAAGTAATAAACTGGCAACAGCGCTGCTGGTACTTTATATTGGTTGGTTTAACAATCAAACGTAGAACAATGGTAGAAAAAAGGAGCAACACCCATTTTTAAATTTCAGAATTTAATTATAAAAGTGATGCCATTTGTTTTTGAATATCATATACTTTTGTCACTTTTAATATACACACACATGTATTTCAATAGCATTATGTATAAAAAGAAAACGTTAATTAAAATAAATAAGGATTTTTCTACACCCACATGGATATTAACTCTATTCACAGAATACAAAATGAAAAAGTAGGGCATTGTGTTCAAGTCATAATGAACAATTTATGATTTGCTGTACTACCTAACTATAATTAATATTAATAGTAAATTTTTAATAAACTTAAAATCTGATCCTATCAAAAAGTATTGATCATTTAGGGCACGTTTTTGTTGCATTTTCAGTTTTCCACTTGATGAAAATAAAAGAAGAGAATAGGCAAAGATTATAAACAAGGATGACTGAAATCCTGGAAAAATAGTTTTTTATGTTCCATTTTACAGAAAATTACTTTGATAGATCTTTCTCTCTTGTTGTTATACTGTACCTACGATTCAAGTGACTCTGATAAAATATTTAAGTATTTATTTACAATTATCCATATTTGTATTGATAAAATTGGACAAAATCTATACAATACTTTTAAGCTGCCTTTAGTCTTAAAAGTAATAAATACCTAAATCAGATAATAAAATATTTTACTTTACGCACAAGTGCCTACACACATACTATTATTTAAAAGTGAAAAAAGTTTTTCGACACCTGTCTAATAATAGAAAATGTAAATTAGATTGTTTTGTATTTTTCAGGTAAAATCCTACAACCCTTTGATTAAAAAGGTAACAACTGCCTGTGATGAAGATTCTTTAGCTCTTCCTGAACCTTCTGCTTGTCAACATAGTTGTACATACATATAGTCAGAAGAGAACCTTCCTGATTGCCCTTGTAAAAAGAAGCTCAAAAGGCTAATCCAAAACTTGACAGCAAACCTTATGGAGACAACGGAAAGTCATCAAGTATTTAAAGAGAATTCTGGAACTCAAAAAAAAAATTAATTATGGAGGAAGAAGAAAATTTAGTTTTGGAAAATTATGGAAATAATAAAGAAATGGTTGAACGATTATTTAGGAAAACCTTGGGCAAGACTGTATCTAAGACATTCATCAAAATCTTTTGCAATTATAGTACATTTTATTTCCGTTAATCCAATATTATCAAACAATTTAATTGACTAGGTAAAAATTTGATAAATCAATAAAAATAATGTTGTAAAATTGTAAAAATCCTGAAATATAATTATCCAATTTTAAAAGGACTTTGTTTTTTTTTTAAATTTTTAATCTAATAAAAATATTACACTTTCAAACAATATAAATATTATACACCACTGGTAAATACTAATGTCAAGCAGCCATTTTGGATAACCATCCTGGTTAACTGACCTTGGCGTAACCATCCTTCCTCACTACTTTATATTCTAAGGTTCTTTGCTCATCGCGCTACTATTATAGGCGATTTTAAATCAGAAATGTGACCAAGTCAAGTGTGGTCAAGGTTCTTACGTCATTATAATGACGTTCTATTAATCTGATTTAAAAATATTTGGTTTATATTGACACTAACTTGACAATGCGCATGACATTGTCAGATATCGCCAATTGGTTTTGAATTTGTAAGGATAAAAAATAAATATTTGTTTTGTGTACTGCAGTGGGATTCTCATCTTTCAATTCGGCACGTGTTGAGAAGCTTCTATCTTCGTTCCACAGAATGCGATTTGTATGTAATGTCTCTCTATTTGATTCGTTACGTGTAGAGTATGCACATAAGAATCCCTGTCCAGATCACAGATGAAGAGAAAATTGATGTTGTAGTTGCTTTGGCCTCTGAAATTCTATCAAACCTTTTGCCATGTTTATCAATAAATCTTGGCTGTATTAAAAATAAATTGGCTTTTCATTTACAAAAACCTTAAATGCGTCCATATCTAGGTACTCAGCTAGGGTTGCCAGACGGCTCGCTTTAGGCGTAATTGTCCTGCTTTTTAACTTGCGGGCACGCGTTACGTCAAAGTACGACATTTCAACTAAATGCTAAACTTTTTAAATCCAAAGTTATAAAGAAATTTTTGACAATTTTTGAACTTTTTTAGAAGCTCCTCAGAAAAAGGACCTGATGGTTTATAAAAATATAAGCGGAGGACCTTTTCTTTAGAAGAAAGGATCTTATTTTATAAAAATACCTGTTTTTTCCCTTTCGTAAATCTGGCAACCCTATACTCAGCCTTTCTGTCGATTTTACAAATAACATAACCAAACAATAATTTAATAATTATATAGTAAAAGTTTTACAATTGTCATTTCATACCTATAATGACCACGTTTTTACTGGAGTCATGTTAAACTTGACCATTTCAAGACAATATTCAATACGACGTCATTGTTTTTGATTTATATCAGTGTAGTCATTCATATTCAATCTGATTTAAAATCGCCTTATTTTTTTTTTTTTTATTTTAAATAAGTGGCAATTCTGTCAAACTAATTATTACTATAGGTTTGTTCGTAGAGCGATCCACAAATCGATGGCTCAATCAAATACTGCCACAACTCAAAAACTATTGTTTCGAGAAATTTCATTTTGAAATTTGTAAGTCTCTATTATCATTATTTTGTTTTTGACATAAAATCTTTGATATTTTGCTGTTAAAATTAACGATTACGATTATAAAATCGGGTTATTGCATAGTTTTTATAAAATTTTGGTGTTTTTGCAGAAAATAACTCGAATTGAGGTAGTTTTAGACACAATCTGTGACTAGATTTTAAATGATTTTTGGGCATATTTAAGGATATTTTTATTTGTGGCGGTATTTAAAGTAAAACCTTGATGATATTTTGCATCCATTGGACTAAAAATGTCATTTTTTGTTTTTTGACTTGTGGCGGTTTTTGATTGAGCCATCGAACTGTTTCCAACTGAACAGCACATGCCTATTGAATATTTTGAGTTAGTAGAAGAATCGATAGCTTCCAGTTATTAGTTTGGCGTTCGTATCAACAAATGAAGTGATTGTTAACTGATTGGAAACGGTTGGAAAAACCCCTGACTATTCTTCGGATTTTAAATCTGGGGCATGTGCACATGAAATATTTTAAATAACTTACAATTTGACATTTGTTTTGCTTGAAATTTATGTCTGTTTATGTATTTATCATTCGTACATGCTTATATTGATTTGATTAGTTGTTTTTTTATGAGTGGAATTATTACAACATAAAATTTAATAAATTATGCAACAATATAAGACAACAAAGACCTACAATCCATTATCCTATTTTAGCCTTTAACTTCAAAACAGGTAATAAAAATAAAATATGGGATGCAATTCACAAAACACATATGTGGTTATTCTGTGACAAATAATTTCTTCTTTTTGTCCATTTACTAAATCTGTATATAACTGACGGGAAAAGATAAAGAAGAATCCACAACTGTACAAAATGTATTCGCAGATCATAAAAATGACTGTTGCGTTTATAATGGACTGTGAATTTGGGCTGGCTAATAATTTATTTCTTTTAATTAAAACAATGACAATATTTTCACCCTACCTTTGCTGGTGGCCCTGGATCGGGATAATTTCTTCTTTATTTTCCTGTGGGCCCACACTTAACGTCTTAAGCGGTCTTGATACGAAAATGCGATCTTGATACGAGAACGCGGTTCACACACGAAAAACTGCCTTATTCGATCTGTTTTAATATTGTACTGAGCTTTTCTATGCACTGAACTCGATTGATTTTATTGCTTGCGCACACACAACTCATACGTGTGTTTTTTGTTACCACCGAAGCCGTTTGGTTCGGGAAGAAAGTATTGTCAAGGGTAAAGTAAATATTTATATCAAAAGTGAATAATTGAATAAATTAAACCTAAATTAAACGAAAACGCAACAATGACAATAAATCCAAAACCTTTGGAAATCGTGCATGCGCATCATAAAAGAATAACTCACCGTTTGAAACTGTCTTTATGAACAAACCTAATATCTTTTAGTTATTGAGATTAATGTGATTAAAAATTTAGTTATTCTTGTGAAGAATCGATAAATCATAAAATTTCACAAGATATTCGTCTATTATTACAAATAAATCATAAATTTAATTGAAACTATATAAAATCAATTTAATTATTAAAACTAAAAACTTGAGTGTCTCAAAAGATTAGTTACTTTATCTTAATACCCTAAACGTAGAAACAATATACAACTCAAGTGGATTTTCCATATCGCACTCAGAGTTCCTCTCTATGGCCATCATATCCACTCTTGTTCTTGTTGCACAAACTACTATTTGTTTGCAGTGATTTTTATCAGTGAATCATTCTCTCTCTATTAGAAGTTATACCCATTATGTGACTGTTTGGGACATGTACACTAAACTAATAGTAATATTTTACTATCTTCATAATCTTACCTGAAACTATAATATTGTGGCTTAAGATCTAATTGTTGAAATTTGAGCCATACATCTAAATCACAAACTTTTAATTGAGTTAGTAACCTATTCATCATTTCATTAATTCCTCTGTCAGATTCATCCAAACTTTTTATAAAAAAGTCTCTAATCTCCGACATCAAATTTGTGAAACAAAAGAAACAATCTGCTTCCGCGTGTTCTAAAACAGAAAATGAGTAATTGATATAAGAACAATTTCATTTTTTAAATTACAAAAAAAAGCATTACGAAGTAATGTGTTTACCTCTAAATGATATGTCAGCATCTGATGCAAATGCATGGTAAATTGGACCTACAATTTCATTCATTCCTTGGACATATCCCTGTCCTGGATTTAACTTTGCATACAAAAATAATATTCTTTCCACTACTTCCCAATGAGCTTCTTTACCTTCAGTCATTGGTGCATAGTCTTCATTTGCTTTTTTTGATAATAATGCAATCTAAAAATTATGGGTCGTAGTTAATATATTTCAATAATTTAACACTATTAAAAAAAAATAATAAAAAACATTTTAAGCATTAGTTTATTATTCCTAATACAATTTTGGTTGTCCTCATAAAAAAAGCCCACATTAATAAAAATGTATTGGATAGTTTTAAAGATACAAGTCTATGGCCGCTACAAGTGGCCAAGAATTAGTGACAGAAGAGGGTCATGCATGGCGCCTCCGAACAAACATCAGTGTGTCGAATATGTGTGCAGTCAGTTATCTGATTGAAGCTAACCAGCGCACTGCAGTATCAGCAATTCATAAACGCATCTATTACTGTCAGCTCCTTGATGCAACAAAACTGGCTTTTCGAAAAAAAAAAAAAAAAAAAAAAAAAAAAACAACGTGGTATGCCTATCCTAAGTGCGATTCTTCTCCACAACCACGCTCGGCCACAAAAAACTTTTTGACACGAGAAAAACTGGAAATAATCCATTATGAAACACTTGAACATCCATGTAATAATTTGGTAATTATTTTAAATAATCTCATATAAATTTTCAAGTACATTCTTTCATTGACTTGGGAATATTAACAACAAATTATTAAAATAAACGTCAAGGTAAATTAAATGTATTACCTTATCAATATTTCAAAGAAAGCACTTCTCAACTAATATATAAATGATTTGGAAGCGAGGGGAAAAGACAGTGACAGAGAGGACCGGACGTTACGCTGTCCGACTTTTCAACGGTGCTCCCTCAAGTGACTTTGGGAATTTTGACAAGTAATTTCTGACAGTAGTGATTAAATAATTAATATCAGCCAACCGATTTTAAAGTTAGTGAAATCGAAACTACGCTTCGAGCAAGCTAAGCCTTTTTCTTTCACTACCTTAAATTTGTGACATTTTCCTTTTTTTCTTTGTTTAATGAGGGAATCTCTTATATTTACTTAGCCAGATTATTTAGTTACCTCCCTTCACATATTTTATAGGAAGTAATATAGGATTTTATTTACTTTGGTAGCTCCAACGACATTTCTGACACATTGTGCCATTTATTATTATTGGAGTTATCAGTATTTTATTATCGCTGGCTGATTTACCGAATCAGGCGAGAACCTCGAGGTGGATCTTATATCTCTAACGATAGGGTGTTATTTAATAGTTTGTTTCATCTAAATTGTTACATGTTTAAATCTATATACAGGATGATTGATTAAAGGGTGGCGACCGACCGTATCTCAGAACATCATGAAGTAAAATTTTTTTTGAAAGAAACACGAAAACAAGCCAATTTTTATTTAAAGGGGACATCATTCTCTAATATCCTCAACTATCATACGTCATTCTTCTCCCCTACGTCAATCTAACCAATACAATTTAAATAAAGACAGTACCAAATATCATATCATCGGAAAGGTAATTTTATAGGGAATTCAGTAATATGACTGTTCATTGCGTTCCTTTTAATTTTAGCGGGATAAAAAATTATTACCTATGGTAAAGTGTGACACTTCATTTGAAAGATTTTATTAGTAATCCAATGCACCACAACATTAACCTAGATATCTCCACATCGCCTTGCAACAAAATAAATTTAGTAATAATGTCCCGGCGCAGTACCGTAATAAATACCTTCCTCTCCACCACGACACTAGGCGCCTCGACAAAAGGCGACGCTCAACGCTGCTACGTACCTAAATCGACGCCGTCAAAACGCTAGATACAATTAGTACATAATGTCTAGTATAGACGAATCTAATGTCTGTATTTTCAATGGTGAATCAAAACATTTATGTAACTTTCTCTGAGATACCACAGGGGTTTCATTTGAATATTGCTTCAAAATAGTATCAATGTAACTAATAAACCACATGGATTTCGGACATTCACCGCGAAAGACAGCTGGGTAGACATCTGTTTTTCGATGGGTGCATTGAGTATTTCAATAGAAATTATAAAAATCGATATTTAAAAAATATACATGGTTGTATTAAGTCATTTCAATCGAAATGATAAAAATCAATACTTTAGAAATATACAGGATAAATTATACAAACCGAGATGGTAAAATTTAACAGTAAGTTAACCAACTGGTGAATGGACACTGTTTGCTAGTTCAAGGGGGGCACCTTATACTAAGCCACCCATTCTACTAGGTTTGAAACAAAGTATATGTGAAATCACCATAGTAAGGTAACCAACTGGCGAAATGACGGTGTTCGTTAGTTCCGTTGGTCATCACCTCTATAGTCGTCGAAATAACTAACTAAGAGGGTAAAAACTGTGTATATCTAGAATAGAATCAAGCTAAATAAAAATATAAACATCAACATAGTAGATAACCAACTGGCGAATTGACGCTGTTCGTTAACTTCACTGGTCATCAAGCTAATTAAAATATATCTTGATAGCAAATGAACGTGATCTGCGTTTGAACGGGACTCAAGTGAGATCTCAGTAAATAGTACAAATTAATTGTAATATACTTTGCTAATTATTGCATCACATTTAAAATATGAAAAATAAAAGAGATTAAATATAAATTTGTATGGTTTTATTTATCAATTTGCACCAAACTTTGCATGGAATCCTGGTATACTTTAATTAACATTATCACAACGTGGGTATATAAATTATCAATTAAGTAACTAGACGATCATTTCTACTACTAGAGGAAAAGACCAAATACAGTAAGTACAGAATTTAAAGTAAAATAAAATTAACAGGTAAATAATAAAGATTTTAGACGTAAAATCTGATCAAATGGGGTACCGGAGGGTGGGTCGTTACAGGAAAGGAATGACATATGACAGTTGAAGATATTATAGAATAAAAATTGACCGATTTGTGTTTTTCTAAAAACTTCTACTTCAAGATATTCTGAGATACGGCCGGTCGCCACCTTTAATGAATCACCCTGTATAAATAGGGAAAAACAAAATGGTTCAGTACCATTTTATCTTGTTTGTGAACCGATTTTCTTTTTTTAAATTTTGTTTAGTAGCTTGACTAGCTTTATTTGGAAATAAGCTTGAGATAAGTTTGGACGACAACATTTTTAAGTGTTTTTTGACAGTGTTAAAGAAAAATTAAAGCAAACGAAACGGTACTTTAAAGAGCATTCATTTGATTTTTCTTACTTCCAATTTAAATATAATCACTGCCCTCCCCTTCATAAAAAAACTGACACCTAATATAAAAAATCTACTTATTAAGTTAATGCCTGCATTTGGGCCACTACCTACTTACTACAACTGTTTCAAATTTCATTGTTATGAAAACTGAGTAAAACGCCTATGACATATATGAAGGTGATTCCATGAGTGTTCCTTTTTGTCAAATTGGGGACAGAACACTAAATAATATTTTTTTAATCATAAACTAAATGAATGGATGTGTCCCTAACAACATGCTGAAAAGTGGGCTCTTTTCTTGTGAACTAACCTCATTTAGATATATTAAAAAAAATCATCCCATCTTTCATGCTATAAATAAAAAACATCATGCTTAATATTTAACTTGCATTTTCTTTTACCTGCTACTAAAACATATCCTTAGTCAATGTAAAGGCTGTATGACAAATTTGTATTAAAATGCAGAAAATTTGTTAGTATTTAATAATTTTTCAATACCTTGGTTATTCCTAGGCCTTTCCTTTCTACATTGGCACATTTTAGAACACTTCTTTGTACTCTACTATGCAGTCTTTTGACGTCTTCACTATTTACTATCTCTTTACATGGAAATTCAGTGGGTTGTTGAAAAAATGATATGTCTGGACACAGTCTTCTAACATCTTTGTCTATTTGTAATAAAACTTCATTGTCTTTAAAAAAAGTTTGCCATTCGCTATCGGGATTGATGTTTAATGGATGATCACCTAGGGTAACATCTCCACTTGCTTCTTTTCCACCAGGCATTACAATCATTTCCTCTAAAATATAGTGTTTCAATTTATATTTTTGGAAATCTGCTTTTTAAACAGTAATATAAAAATGATCATTGTCTTTATCGCCTAGCTTACTGATGAATGGAGTATACATTTATTTGTAATTAGTAACAGTCTTAGTTTCTATTAGAACCTATCATAATTAAATATCTTTCTTGAATGCTTATAATTTTAAATGGGAATATTGTGAACTAGTTTTTTGTAGATAAACAGTCAAGTGAAATCTGGTAAGAAGTGCTTTGGTGTATTCTCTACCTATATAGATATGTTGTAGATAATAAGTGTACTTTGCCTCATAGTCCAATCAAATAGACCTTTGAATCAAAATTTTTGGAGGAAATACAGGAATTTTTGATATAAGTCACTTTAGAGTATTTGAAAACGATATGTAAAAAAAATTGTTTTTCAGGCCCCGGCAAATGGCGAAAAACAAGAAAATAAAGTGTTTTTTAAGGTTATTTAAAAACGGTAGGTGCTATAAAAAGAGTTCTTAATAAAATTTTTAAAAATAAACTTTTACATAAAAAATTAAAACTGACAGAGTTAGGGCGTTTAGAAGTTAAGAGGAGATATCTATTATTTAAAAAAATCATAGATAGCTGAAAATTCAATAATTTTTTAGTTTCTTTTTATTATTTACTCGGAACTTTTTCTTTCTTTCTTTTAAGAAAAATTATTTTATAATTATAACAATTTTAATTTATAAATGTTCAATATATTATACGACTTTATATGGTAAAATAAATTTTGAAGTAAACTTATTATGGCTTGCCTGACATGAAAAATATGAGAAGTGAGCTAATAACTACATCGCGACAGTTTAGTCCCCACTTGAAGTTCCATTAAATAAATAAAAATTATTAAAAAAAAAAAAAAAAAAAAAAATAGAAATAAAGATAATAAAAAATTAAATAAAAATAGGTAAATTAATAAAAATATATAAAAAAAAGTAAATAAAAAATATATAAATAAAATTAAACAAAAATAAATAAAAAACCTGGACAAGAGAATAAGAAAAAATTAATAAAAAAATTAATAAAAAAATAAAACTAAATAAAAATATTAAAAATAACTATAAGTAAATAAAAATTAATTCAAAAATAAATGAAACTAATAAGAATAAATAAATAAAAATAAATAAAACTAATAAAAATAAATAAAAGAAAAAATATATTATCAAAAATTGTAATGAAAAATTTGTTTGTTAATTTTCAATATATTTTTTTAAATATATTGTAACGTTTTATTTATAGTTTATTTATTTAAAACACTTTATTAACAATTTATTTATAACGTACTAATTAATTTAAATAATACTTAGACACAATTCTAATTTATTTATTACAATTTGTCTTTACTATCCAACACTTAATTTCAATCTTCCCTTCTATCGCCAAGATGTAACGCTCTCGAAAGAACCAACTGTGACTAGAAGTTCTAGAAATTATCCTTCATGCGTAAGACTGCGATAGAAAACTCTTAAATCGGTTTCTCGAGTTTCAAGATGGGTCTCGATATGGCCAGCGCTAGACTTCCTGTCGCGTGCAGGATACGGAATCGGCTTCACGTCACAATGTTTTTCTAGGCAATCAAGCACTTTTTTTAGCAGCTAAACAAAAAAGAATCTTGATATCTCATTTTTTTAGACGTATTTGAGTTTATTTTAAACAACATTAAATTATATTTTTTCATATTTTTATTTAATATTTTTTATTTATTTTTATTCATTTTGATTTATTTTGGTTTATTTATTTTTATTTATTCTTATTTATTTTTATTTATTTTTATTTAATTTATTTTTATTTAATTTATTTTTATTTATTTTTATTTATTTTTATTTATTTTTATTTATTTTTATTTATTTTTATTTATTTTTATTTATTTTTATTTATTTTTATTTATTTTTATTTATTTTTATTTATTTTTATTTATTTTTATTTATTTTTATTTATTTTTATTTATTTTTATTTATTTTTATTTAATTTTATTTGTTTTTATTAATTTTTATTTATTTATTGAAACTTCAAGTGGGGACTAAACAGTTGCGATTTCGTTTTCATTAGTTCACTTCTCATATTTTTCATGTCAGGCAAGCCATAATAAGTTCACTTCAGAATTTATTTTATCATATAAAGTCGTATAATATATTGAAAATTTATAAATTTAAATTGTTATAACTTTAAAAAAAATAATTTTTCTGAAAAGAAAGTTTGTATTTATCTTAGTGAATAATAAAAAGAAACTAAAACATCATTGAATTTTTGGCTTGCTATGATTTTTTTAATGACGTATATCTTCTCTTAACTTCTAACCACAATAAATCTGTTAGTTTTAATAATATCAAAAATGCTAAATATCATTTTTATGTAAAACTTATTGCTTTACAAATTTTATTAAAAACTTTTTTTATATCACCTACAGTTTTTAAATAACCTTATTTTGGTGATTTAAGCTTACATTTTTGCTGAACAGAAAATATTATCTTTGTACATACACCAGGTGATAAATAATAGGTAATGCTATCCTTTTCTACACTGGTACTACTAAAATAAAATTGTTCTCATCAATTTTTAAGTAAATTATTATAAATAATGAGTTAATAAACCATGTGGTCCAAATATTACACACATTCACCTCAAATGTGTCACAAAAGTTTTAAAAGAAACTTTACAAAATCAAATCATTTTAAAATTTCAATTTAAAACCTCATACAAAATGTAAGAATAATCTAAACATTTACTTTATTAAAAATCTATAAAAGAAAATGTATCCCAAAGGGCTATCGACCAGTATTTTGGCCTTTGCGAAAACCTATTGTATTTCTAATTTTAATTATCACTACCAATAAGCAACATGCCTATGGTATCATTATTTTAATGATAAAATGAATTTTTAAATTCCACTGTAGCCATACAAATACAAATATCTTTAGGACAAATTGTAGAAATGTTTTACTATTTCTGTATCACAAATTTATTGTTATTGGTATTATTGCATTTTTCTTTTGACTATAATCTTTAAGTTTTACATAAAATTATTAATATACTTTTGTTATTAATTACTGTAAATTTGTGATGATGTAATTTACTTTATGTGTCATAACACATCTTATGTTGATAACTTAATCAACAATTGTTTTTCATTATATTATCTAAAAAATATAAACACACTTTTTTAAGATAAATCAATGCAATGGTAACTAGGCCAAATGAAGGATTATTTAATAATTAAAATCAATACACTAAATATTACTGGTTAATATCTAGTTTAAGCCAGTCTACATTTTGGTTTTTTTTTTGGCAAAATGTTCATGAAATAAAGTTTTGAGTTATTAACGTTTGAAAAAATGAGAAAAAATAACAGTGCAGCAATATACCTGTGACCCAAGAGGTAAAAAATAGACACATGATTGTTTGTAGAATAGAAAATTATCAAATTTTTAAAAATAATTTGAGAAATATCATAGCAAGTGCCATGTCACGTATACATATAACGAAAGGACTCCAACTAGACATTCATATTATTATTGTTATTATTACCTATAAAATGTTTGTAGAGTTCTCTTTTCTCTCGGAGATATTTGTCCCACTGGTTTTGCTGGGGTGGCAAATAATTTAACAACAATTTCCAACACAACGGTCTATGAGATTGGCCATCTGGTATTCCTACAATTAAAACAAATTAATTTTATTGTTTCATTCATTTAAATTAACAAACAATGATATAAATAAAATGTACCTTGAAATGAAAGTTTTTTTAAACCTTCTAGATCTATTACATCTTGTTGAAGTAGGTCATCAAATTCTTTTAATCTGAAAGAATGCTAATTTAATTAATAATTCATTTTTTTATAAATAATTTACCTAGCTCTATATGCCATAATTTTTTACATCAGACCAATACAAAATACGAATGTTTTCGTTTTTCATATGATGGGCGGTGAAAGAGGAGAGAGAAATATTAAATGTCTTTCTTCTTTTAATCTTGACTTGTATCATCTTAGCCTGACTAACCAGCCAGCATATTTGTGACGTCACAGTAGAACCTCTACAGGTCCGTACCCCAGTATAAAGAACAATACAGTAGCGACAGATTGCGTCGGCTTCTTTGATGTCGGGGTGGTCAGATTTTCAATGACAGTTGACGTTTTTGTCGCTTATTTCTACACGGAGAAAAGTAAACTCTAAAATTGCAAATTAGCGATGTACACTTAGAAAAAAATTAAAACATGTACATATAACATTTTAATGTATTCTAGGCAAATAAATTAATCAAAATATTGTGTAACTTAAATAAATGAGTTCCGGTGAAAATCTAGATGTGCCAATTTTAAAATTTTATCATTAGATTAAAATAAATTACTTTTGTATGCCATTCATTGTATGAAATGTGTTAAACATTTTTTGGTTTCTTCATGGAACTAATAAATTAACTCTGCACCTTATTTTTTTATTTAAAATGAGGTTATGTAGGTATCTTTTTACAAGTGAAACAACATATAACAATAATATTTATTAGAACACACAATTACAAATTAGTAAGTTTTTAATGAATTTACAATACAAGAATTATTTTATTTCAATGTTTGTTCCTACGTACAAATTTTTGACTTCAGATGAGTTTTAGCAAATGCCTGTTGTAAGTCACCCGTTAAGCACAATGCTGCCCAATTGCTTATATTACCTATGTATATAATTAAATACTATTAACGTCACATCATAAAAATTAGATGTTTATATTTAACGATTTTATGGTTTAAAATTTGTATGGGAAAGGTTATCTGCTGCGGGATTTAAATATTTAATGGCTAGAAGAATCAACAGTGACTGTCTAGAAAAATTTGTTGTGTCCATTAGGCAACAGGGTGGGAATTTAATTAATCCAACACCTGTACAATTCGAAAGGACATTTAAAAAACTTTTTTGTCAAAATTATCTTCATTGCAATTCCATGAATTGTAATGAAGACCTGGACAAACACTTGCTACAATTAGATGTAAAAAATATTGTCTCTCTGTATCCTGAAATAAATAAAAACACTCGAGAAGCTGTGTTTCTTCCTAATTACAGCTACAGGACAGAAGATATAATAGTTCAAAATCCATTTAAATATGTTTGTGGCTATTTGATCAAGAAAGCTTTAGGCATACATGGATGTAATACATTTATTAAATTTTCAAAAGAATGTGAAGATTTGGATAGTTCACAGATTTTAACATATGATTGCAAATAAAGCACTTATGGAGGCCTAAAAACTCCAAATGAAAAGTTTATTATCTATATATTTAAATTATAAAAAAATGTTATATCTATTTTTAGCAATACCTGTGTAATGTCTGGTATATCGCATAGATTTTTTTGATATTATGAAAGAAATAGAATTTAATCATCCTTGTCCTAATTTCCCTAACGTATATATATCATACAACTATTTATAAGTTTATATATATTATTGTTTAAGTGCTTAAATATTGTATAAATGAAACAAATCAAAAATTAAAAAACAGTTAAAATAATAACACCACAAAATACATTTTTTTGTTTTCTTTTTGCTACTTTACAAGAAATACATATATATTTTGATTAGATGTAGTCAATCAGAACATTTTTAATCAATGGACATAGTGAATCAAAGAACATCTAATTCATTATAATAATTTGGAGGTAGGATTTTTGATTAAGAATGTCCAAAGGTTGCACATGGTACGCTTTCAAAAATGTTCAATGATAGTCTCAACAGAGGAAGCACTTGGTCGATGTACTAGGGAGAAGATAGACATTTGGCTGATGACCTAGATGGATAAAAAATGTGGGAACAGCAGTAGGCAATAAACGTTTACGGTTCAACGTTTTAGAAAAACAATTCTTCTCAAAATGTTTCTCACACAACCTGTAATTCCGATGAAGACTGTTCACATCTATGTTACTCAAATCTTCCCTATTACAAGCTCTTAACCACATGTTGGCCCTAAAATATAAAAAAGTTGATAACAAATGTTTAGATTGAGGGTAGTTCAGAAATTATATATTTTTTACATTATTTTTGTTGAAATTGTAAAAATTGTCCTCCAGACATTTAAATAATAAATATTTGGTTGTCAAATATAAAAATTGAAAGTATTTTCTTAAGACATACCTTTCTGGCTCCATGGGAAATGCAAAATAACTTGTCCCTTTGTCTGTTTACTCTGTTTGAGATGGACAAGGGCGATAGACACATCTCTTTCTTTTCTGATCAGGTGCAGAAGCCATTTCAAAAATATCACACAATAAATGAAAAACTAAAATAATAAAAATGTCTCAAAATATGCACTGGGTACAAAAATAATTACATATTTACATTATTTACATTTACATCGCATTGACACTATTGACGTTGACGTTTTTGTCGCTTATTTTCGGACATGCGCAGAAAAATATGGACCCCTCAAAAAAAATGATCTGTCGCTACTGTATTGGTATATATACTAGGCGAGTTCGGTCAGTCAGGGGCTGGAGCGGGACAAATTTTAGGGTGCTTTTAAATGACATTTAAGCGTGTTAAACTGTCACTAATCGGACTAAACCGAACGCTAAAAGAGTCGTTTGGAGTTAAAAGTGTTAAAGGAGTTAAAGGAACGTGGCAAACCGAACGCAATGACTGGGTCCGTACTTATAAACAGAACTCGTGTTCTCTAAACCATGGGTAAAAAAAACGGTCGGTGCGCATGACAATTTGGACGCCAGACTGTCAATTTCGAGCATTTACGTCATGTTTTTCACGGGCGTACTAAGATGTTATATTATTTTTTATTAATAACGCGCTATTTTAATAATAATAATAATTATTATTATTATTATTATTATTATTATTAAAACATTTGGTTCAGCTGCCTATTAATCAAAAATCATTTTTAAGTGATTTTCTTAAATTAAAAGATGTCATAGTTGAATGTAATAAGTGTTAAATTTAATTTTGATGTTCCTTTTTAGTGCATTTCGATACGCATGTGTGGGCGCCACAGTGTCAAATATCACCTCGCTATGTGGCTTGATTTTGTTGATCGGCTTCGTTCTTCCAGTTTAATATATAGTTCAGTGACCTGAACATACATTTTACAATTTTACACATATTTAACCCTTTCTGTCCCAACGCCTCATATATATTTGTTTTTTAAAAAGTGGGTCTGTAGTCCCAGCCGCCGTATATATACGTTCGAGGTGGAATGATCTCAATTCACCAAAGCCGAAAATATGCGCTACTTATAAAATTTTAGACCCATTGGGGTCCCAATGCCGTAGAAATATGTTCGAAAATGTTAGATTTTTGGTCCTAAAGCCGCAAAATGTTGTCACCTAAGACAGGTCATGCGGATCCATTGCCGTATATATTTGTTCTCATATTGTAGCATGAAAAAACCTCTGGGACCGAGGGACCAACATGTAAATTAAGGCCCGGGTTCACGAATCAGATTCAGGCCGAATATTTTTTTTTATTTATTGGTGTTTTATTTTAGTTTTTTAGGCAATACAACACACATGTTAGTGTATGTTTGATTGCATATTTCAACCATCATTATGTAGAATAGCGACAAAATAGCGAGTATTGGCGAGCAAAAATAGCAACACTTCGAATAGTTGTTTTCAAAATTCTTGGTAAATGAAAGAAATTTATTGTTTTACAAGGTGGTCACTTTTTAATTAAAATGTAACTCTATTTAGCAAAGCGCAAACCGTTGGTTGGTGACACAAAGCTGGATAAATGGAGAACAATTTGCCATTTTCAAAGCCCAATCTGAGGACATTTTGAAAAGCAAAATATCAGTGCCGGCTTCTGTTTCTTTTTTCTTCTAGAGTATGTATATTTTCAAAAATAGACAAAAACGCAGCAGAGGTTTCTTATTTTATATCATGTTGTGTATATTATAGGTAGAGCATTTTTGTATAGAATGTTTTGTAAATACAGAATTGTCATCAACCTCTTTATTTGGATATGAACCAGTATTATTCCGATACTGGTTCCGATCAATTTAATGCATGTTCAATGCGGAATACAATAATGTACAATGTAACAACATATTGTGTGATTAGTCAACATTTCAGAAGAGTTGAACTTTGAACATTATTCAGTAAGCTTACTGACCTGTATTATGAATTATTATTATTATTATTATTATTATTATTATTATTATTATTATTATTATTATTATTATTATTATTATTATTATTATTATTATTATTTGAAACAACATTTTAAAAGCTAAAAGTACATTTACTTTTAAGTTAATCTTATTACTAATGATGATAATAATAATTTATTTGAACAAATATTTTATAATTAAGCTATTGCATAGCTTTTATCGCGGGCTTTGAGTGCGGCGACCGAATCAAGAAATTCCGTAACGACCGTAACGAAAAAAAAAACCTAACACCCCCCACTCCGACCGGCACAGCGGTGCGGCGTTAAACAATATTAACTTCTCATTTATTCAATAAAAGAAAATTGAAAAATCGAAAAACCGAAAAATCGAAAAATCGAAAAACAGAAAAATCGAAACAGAAATTCCGTAACGAAAATAAACCTAACACCCCCCACTCCGACCGGTACAGCGGTGCGGCGTTGAAAACCGTACATCGTCTAACGTCGTTTCAGTTCGGCAGACTTCGACACGGTGTTTGTGTGCGTGCGACTAGACGTATGCGTGTAGACTAGCTGCTAACTGCTCATAACTGATTCTATCTCTTTTAGACACAATTTCAGAAAAATTGAATTTGAAAATGAATAATGATCCACAAGAATCCACAACAAAATATGGGACCACCATAGACGCGGTATTTTCCAGATATTTAGATGATATCAAGTCTCAAACTTATGTTTCTTATTTCAGTTACCATAAACCTATAGTTTCAATGATAAAAATTCCTAAATAACCTACATGTATTGTAAGAAAATAAAAATATTTTAAACAAGATTAACTTCTCATTTATTCAATAA